AGTGTGCTACGAGTCATTCAGCCCCCCTGTCAGCACTGCCCAAACACAGTTCCGCGTGTGCGTTGCCTGGCCAGCTGCCCTCCCAGCCCTGAGGCCCCACCACTACTGGGGCTTCCCTCCCCTTCTCCTCCCAAGGGTCCTTGCCCAGTTCCCCCCTTGTCCCAGCTGCCTGGCACTCTTCCCAGAGAGCCTGCCTAGTGCTCTTGGCAGTGCAGAGGTCCAGATGCCAACCCTGGAACATCCGCTCTCCGCACTTCCAGGATCACTGAGCACAGAGGACAGAGAGCCCTACCTTACAGACCTGTAACCTCCTCCCAGCCATGGTTCTGGAGGCCTCAGCACCTGAGCAGAACCTTTCCCTGCCAGGAATCCAGCTCTGCCAGGGGCTGGGAGAGCAAAGAAGCCAGCCCTATGTGCTGACAGGGGCCACCCAACACTCCCTTAATCCTCTCTGCTTTGCTACAGGGTGACAGCGGGGGGCCTCTCATCTGCAAAGATAGCACAGCTGACATCTTCTGGGAAGTTGGTCTGACCAGCTGGGCAGTAGGTTGTGCCAGACCCAAAAAGCCTACAGTTTTTGTCTCCACTCAATACTACCACAGCTGGATCATGAAACACATTGGCCAGAGCTTAGCTACTCCAGCACCAGTGCAATCCTGTCCGTTTCCACATACGAAGCTGCTGGAATTCTTTGATCTGCTGCAGGAGCTCTTGAAGTTCCTAAAGGCAAAACCGGCTTGAGCAGCAGGATGGACAGGCTGTGGCACAGGCTGTAGTGAGCCATAACCATGTCCTTCTGGGACAATGCCTGCTGATCCAAAGGCAGCCTCAGTACCAAAGGCCTCCTCTGTCCTGCCCACGCTCCTCCTCTGCATGCACACAAATGCTGATGTGGACTTAGTTGTTGTTGAAATAAAGTTGCCTGTTTTCACCATTAACCGTGTTGGCAGTCCCACTCAGTCTCCTGTGCCCTCGAGGCCAGGCCTCCCTGGGCCGACACCTGCAAAATGAGGCTGCACAGGCAAGCAAAGGGAAAGGGCACAAAAGGGAGCAAAGGGAAAGGGTCCCTCCAAGGGGCTGGAATCGTGCCTGCTCAGAGAGGAGGCCAAGGGTGCAGTGCAGAAGGGAACACAGGTTTAGGGCCTTACAGGTCTTGGGGCCAGCAGCTGGAAATGCACAGTGTCTTAGGCTGCTGACCGGTGGGATGCCTCTGTGTGTGGATGTGTGTACAGCACACCAGGCAACTGGAAACTGGACTCGGGATGTCTGGGCAGGAACCTTCCAGCTCCTTGGTCTTCCTTTAACTTCATCAAAGGAAAGCTCAGAGAACTCTCCTTGGTCATCAAGGAGAGCAACTCATTGGCTGTAATTGAAATGACAGTCCAACAGCCAGGGTCTGCTGTACCTGGGGAAAAAGGGGGAAGCTGTTCAGCAGTCAAATGGAAGCAACTAAATTAGCAGGCTTAACCCTGAAGGGGCTCCAGTTTCTTCCCTTAAAGGAAAAGAATGTTTAGTTAGAGGTGTTCATAGTTGGGTTGTAAACACCACCTAAAAAACCTTAGGCCTAGAGACTAGAAACATTTGCTAGTTGTTTAGCTTAACAAGACAAAAATGTTTGCTAGGGATGGCAGGTTAAGAAAAAAACCAAACTCCTCCCTCTAAGTTAATATGACTTTAATTAGGAGGATTCAGGTAAAAAGGTTTGGAAAAGGACAACAGCAGCTCTTTATTAATATACATATGTATGTAAAAAAACAGAACAAGGAACAATACCGTAACCAAAACTTTCAAAACAAACCCTACTTCCCCTCTCCGCTTAACCAGAAACCACCTCAAGCATGGGCTGCTCGCACTTTTCGGGAGGCGAGGGGTACGGTGGCTCACTGGCAGGCAGCAGGAAGGCATTAGCAGGCTCCGGCGAGTTGGCGATCGCCGTGGCTCTCCCGTGACGGTCAGGGGCCATCCACGGGCTGTTCCCGGCGGCTCCGCAGCCGCTCACGGCCACGTGAGTGATGGCAGCCGGGGGGCCAACAATTTAGGGGGCTTCCCGCCAGTCCCGGGGCTACGGGCACGGTCCTCAGCAGCAGCGCCGTGCTCCCCAGCTCAGGAAACAGCTGTCCGCAGCGGCGGGCGCTGGGGCCAGGCAGCCGTCGCAGGGAGATGCTCGGATATGTGGCACCGGCGCAGGGCGCGGGCGGGGGCAGGTACCTCGCTCCGAAACGGCCGGCGGCGGGGGCTCTACCAGGGCTTATCCCAGTGGTGCGAGCAATGGCCGGCAAGGACCTGGGGCCAACCCCGATAGGGGTGCCAGGCAGGGAAAGCTCCTTCTCGGGGGTTAAACAGGAGAAAAAAGAGGTGGTTGCCAGGTCCGTGGGTGACGAGCAGGAAGACACATAAAGAAAAGGCCCAGATGTGCAGCTCGGGCCGGTTTTAAAAAGCCCTCCCCGCTCCCGTGCCCTTATGTGTGCGACACCACTCCTCCCCGCCTCGGCCACCCTGGGAAAAGAACGGGGGGGGGGAGTGCCCTTTCACTGTTGGTGAGCGCTACCCATTAACGGGTAGTCGGAAAAAATTCCGACAGCTCTTTGCAAAACTAAAACAATTAGTTGATTTGCTTGTCTCAAGCAAGGCAGAGGGAAACAGTGTCAGAAAGCGGTTTTAAAAACCCAGTGCGTGGCTTTTTGTTGTTGTTGCCACAAATTCTGGACCAGTTTCCGATGAGGAGTAAAAGCTTTTATCGTTGGCAGAGTACTGGCACAGCTTGCCCAGAGAGGCTGTGCATGCCCCATCCCTGGAACTGTTCAAGGCCAGGTTGGAAGGGGCTCTGAGCAACCTGATCTGGTGGAAGGTGTCCCTGCGCATGGCTGGGGCTTGGAACTAAAGGACCTTTAAGGTCCTTCCCAAGCCAGACTGTTCTGTGGCTCTAACACAGGGATGCAAGGAGGGCCATCAATAAAACCTCTGTGCTGGACTTCCGGAGGGCAGATTTTGGCCTGTTCAGAAGACTTAGTTCAGAGCGTACCCTGGGAAAAAAACCCTTGAAAACAAAGGGGTCCAGGAGGAATGGACATTCTTCAAGAAGGAAGTCTTGAAAGCACAGGAGCAAGCTGTCCCAGTCTGCCAAAAGGCAAGCCGGTCGGGAAGATGGCCAGCCTGGCTAAACAGGGAGATTTGAAGGAAATTAGGGTAAAAAAGGGAGCTTACCAATTATGGATAAAAGGGCTGGCTACTCATGAAGAGTTTAGGAATGTAATTAGGTCATGGAGAAAGAAAATTATAAAGACAAAGGCACAATTTGAACTCAATCTTGTCACTTCTGTTAAGGATAACAAGAAGTCTTTCTACAGATACACCAGTAGCAAAAGGAGGGGCAAGGAAAACCTCCATGCTTTACTGGACAGGGGGGGAACATAGCTACCAAAGATGAGGAAAAGGCTGAAGTATTTAACACCTTCTTTACCTCAGCTTTCAACAGTAAGACAGGTTGTCCTGAGGACAGCTGGCTTCTGGAGCTTGTAGAAAGAGATAAGAAGCTGAATAGCCCCCCTGTAATCCAGGAGGAAACAGCTAGTGACCTGCTGAGCCTCTTGGACCCCCACAGGTGTATGGGATCAGATGGGATCTGCCCAAGGATGATGAGGGAGCTGGCAGAAGAGCTCACCAAGCCGCTCACCATCATCTACCAACAGTCCTGGGTCACTGGAGAGGTCCCAGATGATTGGAAGTTGGTGAATGTCACGCCAATCCACAAAAAGGGCTAAAAGAAGGACCCTGGAAACTACAGGCCTGTCAGCCTGACCTCAGTGCCTGGCAAGGTTATGGAGCAGATCATCCTCAGTGCAATCACACAGCACCTACAGGATGGACAAGGGTGTAGAACCAACCAGCACGGGTTTAGGAGGGGCAGGTCCTGTCTGACCAACCTGATCTCCTTTTATGATCAGGTGACCCACCTGGTGGATGAGGGGAAGGCTGTGGATGTGTCTACCTGGACTTCAGCAAAGCCTTTGACACCGTCTCCCACAGCACACTCCTGGAAAAGCTGGCAGCCCATGGCTTGGACAGGGGCACTCTGTGCTGGGTTAGGAACTGGCTGGAGGGCCGGGCCCAGAGAGTGGTGGGGAATGGGGCTGCATCCAGTTGGGATCCGGTCACTAGTGGTGTCCCCCAGGGATCAGTGTTGGGCCCAGTTCTGTTTAATATCTTTACTGATGATTTAGATGAGGGGATTGAGTGTACCAATAGCATATTTGCAGATGAAACCAAGCTGGGGGAGCGTGTTGATCTGCTGGAAGGCAGGAGGGCTCTGCAGAGGGACCTGGACAGGCTGGAAAGTTGGGCTGATTCCAACGGGATGAGGTTCAACAAGGCCAAGTGCCGGGTCCTGCACTTTGGCCACAACAACCCCCTGCAGTGCTACAGGCTGGGACAGAGTGGCTGGAGAGCAGCCAGGCAGGAAGGGACCTGGGAGTCTGGATTGATAGGAAGCTGAACATGAGCCAGCAGTGTGCCCAGGGGGAAAAGAAGGCCAATGGATCCTGGCCTGGATCAGGAACAGTGTGGCCAACAGGTCCAGGGAAGCGATTCTTCCCCTGTACTCAGTGCTGGTGAGGCCACACCTGGAGTGCTGTGTCCAGTTCTGGGCCCCTCAGTTCAGGAAGGACATGGAGGGGCTGGAGCAGGTCCAGAGAAGAGCAACAAGGCTGGTGAAGGGACTTGAACACAAGTCCAATGAGGAGAGGCTGAGGGAGCTGGGGTTGTTTAGCCTGGAGAAGAGGAGGCTCAGGGGAGACCTCCTCACTCTCTGTAACTCCCTGACAGGAGGCTGTAGCCAGGTGGGGGTTGGTCTCTTCTCCCGGGCAACCAGCAGTAGGACAAGAGGGCACGGTCTTAAGCTCTGCCAGAGGAAGTTTAGGTTAGATATTAGGAAGAAATTCTTTACAGAGAGGGTAATCAGGCATTGGAATGGGCTGCCTAGGAAAGTGGTGGATTCTCTGTCCCTGGAGATTTTTCAGATGAGACTGGATGTGGCACTTAGTGCCATAGTCTGGTAACCATGGCAGTGTGGGATCAGGGGTCAAACTTGATGATTTCGGAGGTCTTTCCCAACCCAAGCTGCTTCTATGATTCTATGACTCTACGTTATCCCTCTTCCCCTGCCTCCAGAGGCCACCACCATGCCCAGATCATGGAACCAGCCCCCCTGTGACATCAGCCTCAGGCTGAGGGCACTGCCAGCAACTCCAGTGCTGCAGGCACCTTGTTGGCAGCTGTGCTGGAAGAGACAGGCCCTCACTCCTTGCAGCTGACTTGTGTCGCTGGCAGCGATGATTCTGCTGCGCCTGCTCATCTTGCTGGCCCTGTGTGGGGCCGCCGACGGCACATCGAACACGTGCGGGTAAGTGGCCCCAGGCTCTGGGAGGGAGCCTGGGCAAGCTGTAGGGGCTACCCTGAGGGTGTCTGCTTGTCTCGTGGCTACACCCGAGCTTCCCAAACCCCATGTGGGAGGCTTCTTTTTCTTATTCTCTTTTTTTTTTTCTTTCTTTTTTTATTTCTTTCTTATTCTTGTTTATTTCCTTTTATTCGCCCGCACTCAGACTGCTGGCACAACTCATCTACGGGGCTGAAGCAGACACAGGAGCAGACAGACACACGCCCCCACGGGGTCCCCTGGCCCTGCTGGCTGTACAACCAGTGCCCTGTGGGGAGGGAAGCAGGCTGCCCTTCAGCCTGAGCAGCATCAAGCCCTCAAGCAGGACAGTAATGACCTTCTGCTTACAGACAGGTCTGCGGGCTCCGGCCTGTGCCCTACAGCACGACGCGCATCGTGGGTGGCGTAAATGTCCCACCAGGAAAAGGGGCCTGGGCCGGGATAGTCAGCATCCAGAGTCTTCGGACAAAAAAATTTTTTAGGCATAACTGTGGAGGGACCATCATCAGACCACAGTGGGTCCTCTCAGCTGCCCACTGCTTCATCAACCGCACAAAGTAAGGAGGACCAGGGAACTGGGATATCCCCAACACCCCAGCCGGTGCTCTGTGCCCAACACCACGTTCTACTCCCATCCCATTTCCTTGCAGCATGCCCAGTGCCTGGGCACCGCAAGCCCAGCTGAGACTGCTCAGGGAGAAGGCTGGGCTCGTGTCCCTGCTTCCTAGCAGCCTCCAGCTTGGCATTTCTGGAGCCTAAGCCATGCTAGTGCCGTCACCCCCCCTGTAACTTTGCTTTCCTCTCTGCCTTGGGCAGCAGAAGGCAGGGTACTGGTGGGCTGCTACCGCACATGGCTCTGTTCCCTCTTAGCCCTCTCTCTGTCTGTGTTCCAGTCCCCTCAGCAAGTGGGGCGTGCTGGCCGGGCTCACAACAACTGCTGACTCAGGGCCTGAGGTACAAATACGCCGGATTAAGCAGGTGAAGATACACGAGCAATACGATGGCCTTATGCGTCATGACATTGCCCTGGTGGAATTGACGAAGCCCTTTGAGTGCAACCCCTCCGTTCAGCTCGCTTGTCTACCTGGTCCCACAGTGAAAGTGTCAGCTCTGAACTGCTATGTTGCTGGCTGGGGTGCCACTGAGGCTAAAAGTAAGTTCCCAAAAAGGACCTGTGCCCTGAGGGCAAGCTTGGCACACTGGGGAGAGATGGGTGGGGCTTCCTGACAGCAGAGGCCAAAACCAGGGTTGGGCTGCGGGATGTATGCCTCTGGAGAGATGGGACGAGCCTACTTCCCAAAGCCAGACAGCAGTGACACAACACTCCAATGCGTCTCCAGAGACAGAGCCCAGGCCCAGGGAAGGGCTTCACCCCCAGACAGGCCAGGGGAATGGACAAGGAGCTGCTGGGAGCTCATTCCTTTCTCTGCTCACAGCTGTAGCACAAGCAAGTGTCCTGAAGGAGGCCAAGGTGCTCCTCATCGACACCCAGCTCTGCAACAGCACCGACTGGTATGGAGGGAGGATCCAAGACGACAATGTGTGTGCTGGGCAACCAGAGGGTGGCATGAACACCTGCCAGGTAGGAGTGTGCTACGAGTCATTCAGCCCCCTGTCAGCACTGCCCAAACACAGTTCCGCGTGTGCGTTGCCTGGCCAGCTGCCCTCCCAGCCCTGAGGCCCCACCACTACTGGGGCTTCCCTCCCCTTCTCCTCCCAAGGGTCCTTGCCCAGTTCCCCCCTTGTCCCAGCTGCCTGGCACTCTTCCCAGAGAGCCTGCCTAGTGCTCTTGGCAGTGCAGAGGTTCAGATGCCAACCCTGGAACATCCGCTCTCCGCACTTCCAGGATCACTGAGCACAGAGGACAGAGAGCCCTACCTTACAGACCTGTAACCTCCTCCCAGCCATGGTTCTGGAGGCCTCAGCACCTGAGCAGAACCTTTCCCTGCCAGGAATCCAGCTCTGCCAGGGGCTGGGAGAGCAAAGGAGCCAGCCCTATGTGCTGACAGGGGCCACCCAACACTCCCTTAATCCTCTCTGCTTTGCTGCAGGGTGACAGCGGGGGGCCTCTCATCTGCAAAGATAGCACAGCTGACATCTTCTGGGAAGTTGGTCTGACCAGCTGGGCAGTAGGTTGTGCCAGACCCAAAAAGCCTACAGTTTTTGTCTCCACTCAATACTACCACAGCTGGATCATGAAACACATTGGCCAGAGCTCAGCTATTCCAGCGCCAGTGCAATCCTGTCCGTTTCCACGTACGAAGCTGCTGCAATTCTTTGATCTGCTGCAGGAGCTCTTGAAGTTCCTAAAGGCAAAACCGGCTTGAGCAGCAGGATGGACAGGCTGTGGCACAGGCTGTAGTGAGCCATAACCATGTCCTTCTGGGACAATGCCTGCTGATCCAAAGGCAGCCTCAGTACCAAAGGCCTCCTCTGTCCTGCCCACGCTCCTCCTCTGCATGCACACAAATGCTGATGTGGACTTAGTTGTTGTTGAAATAAAGTTGCCTGTTTTCACCATTAACCATGTTGGCAGTCCCACTCAGTCTCCTGTGCCCTCGAGGCCAGGCCTCCCTGGGCCGACACCTGCAAAATGAGGCTGCACAGGCAGGCAAAGGGAAAGGGCACAAAAGGGAGCAAAGGGAAAGGGTCCCTCCAAGGGGCTGGAATCGTGCCTGCTCAGAGAGGAAGCCAGGGGTGCAGTGCAGAAGGGAACACAGGTTAGGACCTTACAGGTCTTGGGGCCAGCAGCTGGAAATGCACAGTGTCTTAGGCTGCTGACCGGTGGGATGCCTCTGTGTGTGGATGTGTGTACAGCACACCAGGAAACTGGAAACTGGACTCGGGATGTCTGGGCAGGAACCTTCCAGCTCCTTGGTCTTCCTTTAACTTCATCAAAGGAAAGCTCAGAGAACTCTCCTTGGTCATCAAGGAGAGCAGCTCATTGGCTGTAATTGAAATGACAGTCCAACAGCCAGGGTCTGCTGTACCTGGGGAAAAAGGGGGAAGCTGTTCAGCAGTCAAATGGAAGCAACTAAATTAGCAGGCTTAACCCTGAAGGGGCTCCAGTTTCTTCCCTTAAAGGAAAAGAATGTTTAGTTAGAGGTGTTCATAGTTACCTTGTAAACACCACCTAAAAAACCTTAGGCCTAGAGCCTAGAGACTAGAAACATTTGCTAGTTGTTTAGCTTAACAAGACAAAAATGTTTGCTAGGGATGGCAGATTAAGAAAAAAACCAAACTCCTCCCTCTAAGTTAATATGATCTTAATTAGGAGGATTCAGGTAAAAAGGTTTGGAAAAGGACAACAGCAGCTCTTTATTAACATACATATGTATGTAAAAAAACAGAACAAGGAACAATACTGTAACCAAAACTTTCAAAACAAACCCTACTTCCCCTCTCCGCTTAACCAGAAACCACCTCAAGCAGGGGCTGCTCGCACTTTTCGGGAGGCGAGGGGTACGGTGGCTCACTGGCAGGCAGCAGGAAGGCATTAGCAGGCTCCGGCGAGTTGGCGATCGCCGTGGCTCTCCCGTGACGGTCAGGGGCCATCCACGGGCTGTTCCCGGCGGCTCCGCAGCCGCTCACGGCCACGTGAGTGATGGCAGCCGGGGGGCCAACAATTTAGGGGGCTTCCCGCCAGTCCCGGGGCTACGGGCACGGTCCTCAGCAGCAGCGCCGTGCTCCCCAGCTCAGGAAACAGCTGTCCGCAGCGGCGGGCGCTGGGGCCAGGCAGCCGTCGCAGGGAGATGCTCGGATATGTGGCACCGGCGCAGGGCGCGGGCGGGGGCAGGTACCTCGCTCCGAAACGGCCGGCGGCGGGGGCTCTACCAGGGCTTATCCCAGTGGTGCGAGCAATGGCCGGCAAGGACCTGGGGCCAACCCCGATAGGGGTGCCAGGCAGGGAAAGCTCCTTCTCGGGGGTTAAACAGGAGAAAAAAGAGGTGGCTGCCAGGTCCGTGGGTGACGAGCAGGAAGACTGTAGTGGTTTGAACCTTGTTTTCCCCAGAGGCTAAGAGAAGTGGCAGACCCCAAGGGGTGGAAACCCCTGGAAGTTTTGAAGTTCTGCCCAATGGGCGCTCCTGCAGAAATGTAAACATACCACAACCAGACCGGAAAAGAAGAGTTGTAGTTTTTGGTTGTTGTAGGAGAGGTGGCCATGTTGTAGAGCCACGAGGAAGGGGCTCTGAGCCCCTTGGGGCCTCTGGCCCCCTTCCCAGCCCCTGGCTGGGGGCTGCAGGGACCTGGAACAGCATAAAGCTGGGCTAGGTGCCTGTAGTTATGCCGGGAGATGTTTTCTCCATGGGCACAGAGCAGCAGCCGACACTGACCAGAGAAATGGTGGCAGAGAGCCAGAGATAAGAACCTGAACTGGAGGAGCAGCAGAAGCAACATGCAGCACCGCAGAGAAGACTCCTGGAAGGAGAGCCGAGGAAAGGAGAGCCAAGAGACAGAGTTCTGGGGGTAAGACTGTACCACACTCCCCCAAAACTCCCTTGAGACCCCTCTTGGAGAAGAGGGACATGGACTCCTATTTTGGAGAGCAGTTTTGGACATGCAGCACCGGAGAGAGAGGAGTTGAGAAGCTCAGAGCGTCCTGGAGCTGGACCGGGACGGCCAGATGGAATGCGGGGGGAGTTGACCTTGGCTCTCCCCCCCCTCGCACTGCTGCCACGGTGGCAGCCTGAGAGACAGGGCACAGAGGCCCTGCAAGGGGCTGAGTCCCCTGGAGACACCAGACCGTCACGAAGCCCCTGTGCTCGTGATATGACGTGGTGAAACGACCTTGTCTGGGGTTACGAAGCCCACGGAAGACCCCTCGGTTGTGAGGCGATGGGGCCGAGAGAGAGGCTTGGATACCTCCATCGTGGATGCTGGCAGAAAGCCAGCTATCAGCTGCTGCATGCATGAGATGAAAAGAACCTGCTGCCTTAGAAGATACTCCTACTGCTGCTTAAGGACTGGAAGGGATCTGTCCTTCTTTCCCTCCTGGACTTTTATTTGGAGGAGAGAAGAGATCTGATCCACTGTAAATACTATATATCATGGTAGAGATAGTTGTAATCGTGTGTATAATGTGATGTTATATTTATTTGTATAGTCATTGTAATATATTTCCCTTTCCCCCACTTTGAGTCTGGTGTGTTTTGTCTGGAAAAAACCCATCTCACATTAGGTTGAGATGTGGGAGAGGGCTTAGACTAGGGGATTGGATTTTGGGGCTATCTCAAACCATGACAAAGACACATAAAGAAAAGGCCCAGATGTGCAGCTCGGGCCGGTTTTAAAAAGCCCTCCCCGCTCCCGTGCCCTTATGTGTGCGACACCACTCCTCCCCGCCTCGGCCACCCTGGGAAAAGAACGGGGGGGGGGAGTGCCCTTTCACTGTTGGTGAGCGCTACCCATTAACGGGTAGTCGGAAAAAATTCCGACAGCTCTTTGCAAAACTACAACAATTAGTTGATTTGCTTGTCTCAAGCAAGGCAGATGGAAACAGTGTCAGAAAGTGGGTTTAAAAACCCAGTGCGTGGCTTTTTGTTGTTGTTGCCACAAATTCTGGACCAGTTTCCGATGAGGAGTAAAAGCTTTTATCGTTGGCAGAGTACTGGCACAGCTTGCCCAGAGAGGCTGTGCATGCCCCATCCCTGGAACTGTTCAAGGCCAGGTTGGAAGGGACTCTGAGCAACCTGATCTGGTGGAAGGTGTCCCTGCGCATGGCTGGGGCTTGGAACTAAAGGACCTTTAAGGTCCTTCCCAAGCCAGACTGTTCTGTGGCTCTGACACAGGGATGCAAGGAGGGCCATCAATAAAACCTCTGTGCTGGACTTCCGGAGGGCAGATTTTGGCCTGTTCAGAAGACTTAGTTCAGAGCGTACCCTGGGAAAAAAAACCCTTGAAAACAAAGGGGTCCGGGAGGGATGGACATTCTTCAAGAAGGAAGTCTTGAAAGCACAGGAGCAAGCTGTCCCAGTCTGCCAAAAGGCAAGCCGGTCGGGAAGATGGCCAGCCTGGCTAAACAGGGAGATTCGAAGGAAATTAGGGTAAAAAAGGGAGCTTACCAATTATGGAAAAAAGGGCTGGCTACTCATGAAGAGTTTAGGAATGTAATTTAGGTCATGGAGAAAGAAAATTATAAAGACAAAGGCACAATTTGAACTCAATCTTGTCACTTCTGTTAAGGATAACAAGAAGTCTTTCTACAGATACACCAGTAGCAAAAGGAGGGGCAAGGAAAACCTCCATGCTTTACTGGACAGGGGGGGAACATAGCTACCAAAGATGAGGAAAAGGCTGAAGTATTTAACACCTTCTTTACCTCAGCTTTCAACAGTAAGACAGGTTGTCCTGAGGACAGCTGGCTTCAGAAGCTTGTAGAAAGAGATAAGAAGCTGAGTAGTCCCCCTGTAATCCAGGAGGAAACAGCTAGTGACCTGCTGAGCCTCTTGGACCCCCACAAGTGTATGGGACCAGATGGGATCTGCCCAAGGATGATGAGGGAGCTGGCAGAAGAGCTCACCAAGCCGCTCACCATCATCTACCAACAGTCCTGGAGAGTCACTGGAGAGGTCCCAGATGATTGGAAGTTGGTGAATGTCACGCCAATCCACAAAAAGGGCTAAAAGAAGGACCCTGGAAACTACAGGCCTGTCAGCCTGACCTCAGTACCTGGCAAGGTTATGGAGCAGATCATCCTCAGTGTTATCACACAGCACCTACAGGATGGACGAGGGATCAGACCCAGCCAGCACGGGTTTAGGAGGGGCAGGTCCTGTCTGACCAACCTGATTTCCTTTTACGATCAGGTGACCCACCTGGTGGATGAGGGGAAGGCTGTGGATGTGTCTACCTGGACTTCAGCAAAGCCTTTGACACCGTCTCCCACAGCACACTCCTGGAAAAGCTGGCAGCCCACGGCTTGGACAGGGGCACTCTGTGCTGGGTTAGGAACTGGCTGGAGGGCCGGGCCCAGAGAGTGGTGGGGAACGGGGCTGCATCCAGTTGGGATCCGGTCACTAGTGGTGTCCCCCAGGGATCAGTGTTGGGCCCAGTTCTGTTTAATATCTTTACCGATGATTTAGATGAGGGGATTGAGTGTACCAATAGCATATTTGCAGATGACACCAAGCTGGGTGGGGAGTAGTGTTTATCTGGTGGAAGGCAGGAGGGCTCTGCAGAGGGACCTGAACAGGCTGGAGAGTTGGGCTGATTCCAACAGGATGAGGTTCAACAAAGCCAAGTGCCGGGTCCTGCACTTTGGCCACAACAACCCCCTGCAGTGCTATAGGCTGGGACAGAGTGGCTGGAGAACAGCCAGGCAGGAAGGGAGCTGGGAGTCTGGATTGATAGGAAGCTGAACATGAGCCAGAAGCGTGCCCAGGGGGAAAAGAAGGCCAATGGATCCTGGCCTGGATCAGGAACAGTGTGGCCAACAGGTCCAAGGAAGTGATTCTTCCCCTGTACTCAGTGCTGGTGAGGCCACAACCTGGAGTGCTGTGTCCAGTTCTGGGCCCCTCAGTTCAG